TCGAAATTTTAAGAATTTGTTTTTATTTCTTATTATGATAGTGAATTCGTCTTAATATCTCGTAATTATAAGATTTTATTTTTAATCTCTAGTAACGATAGATCTTTCTTCGATATCTTTTGATTTCAAGATTTTGTTTTTGATGACAGGCAATGATAGATATTAGCGTTGATATCTCGTAAGTATTTTTGATATCGTGTTTTTCTTCTTGATATCTCATCATTTAAGACATATTTGATGTATTTTTATGATAGATGTTTCTTCTTGATATCTTAGAATTTTAGGGATTTGTTTGGGATTTCTCGTATTTTTAATGCTTTATGTTTCACTAGGATTCCTACTCATTCTAGAAATTTCTTTAAAATATCATATTATATTTGAGTTTGCTTTTAATATTTTGTCATTCTAGAAATTTTTTTCAATTACTTGTAATTTTATAGCTTTTTTTAATATTTGGTAATTTTAGAGTCTTTTGTCTTGTATTTCTGATATGTCGCTATTTTCCTCGGATGCTTGCGTACAGGCTCGTTTTTTAAAATAATATCTTCTAAATGCATCATGTCAGGTGTTTCTTCTTGCAACACTACTTGTATCTTGATTGTAAGCTCGTTAACTTATGCCTTTCTGAATGTGTGAGTGTGTATTTGCATTAAACGAATTTTTTGTTCAGTTTTCTGTCTCTTTAAGAAGGCATTTGAAAATATAACGAGAAAGAAGCAGCTTGTATTCGAGCCGAAGATAACGTTCATTTTCTCGATTTACGGTTGAATGAGAGAAATTGAAACTAAAACGTAAACTATGAAAAGAAATAGAAAAATAAAACGAAATCATTGAGTGGATTTTTATCCGTCTCAATTTACACCTTGAAAATCACCCATGAGAATATTTCTCGTCGAAAGTGCGTTCAAGATTTGCAAACCATTACAAAAAGAAAGAAATATCTCAACGAGATGTTAGTTAAGTCATGCATATATACAGAACAACCAGAATAAATTTTTTCTCATAAATTCACTAACATGAATTAATCATATTGATCGCAGAGGTTGAGAGGTGTCATCTTCGGACATTACCAGCTTTTTACCTGTTCTAAAGAGGCAATTTTAATAGTTGAATCATAAAAGTTGGCAAGAGAACAGAAATCTTCCAACGGGGACCATGAAAATTTTAAATAGAAAATGCTAGATTAAAAACGAATGTCGTCTGTTTGAAGTGGATCTACAAACAGGCAAAAAGAAGTTAAATTCATATTTTCTGTTAATTTCGGAAGTATATCGTTTTATTTTTTCATAACATATCAACTGTTTTGGGTGGAAAAAAGCAAAATTGAAATAATGCAACTTGAAATGATTAAAGAAAACCTCTGTTTTTCTATAAAAGAAAAAAATTATTCTTTGATTGTTTAGGTATGATCAATCAATGGAATATATTTTATAGGGGATACACTGAATGTGCAGATAGTGTAATGGTTAACAAGTCGGGAAATCGTGCCGAGTTTGAATATTTACGTAGTTTTCAACATCGGGTTTTGTACAGATATTCAACCGAATTATTCATTTAACTCAGTTCAAATTAAATACAAGCAAAATAGGCTTGGATTTTCACAAAATGGAATTGAAATGCACGAACCATATAATGGCAACATTTAACTGCACGCACAATGGCAACTGTGGATCGGATTGATTTGTTTCTTTAACGGTACATCATCAACATTAAGGGGTCATTTAATGCCGAAATTTAATTTTCTTGCGTGCTTTGAAGTAATAATAAATATATGTAGGCTGTATCAAGAGAAGCTAGCTATTGCAACATATAAGGCTGGCGCTGAGCTATTGCATCATATAAGGCTGGCGCTGAGCTATTGCATCATATAAGGCTGGCGCTGAGCTGTTGAATGGGAGGACTGAAATTATGGCCAAATGAAGGCACATCAGGAAGTTAACTTTGGAGCTATACGAACCCGGAGAAAGTAGAAAATATAAATGTTTTTTCCTCCCCCTAATTTTCCCACACTAACTCTCCCATGATTTCCGGTGCTGCATTAAGATATTTAAGTTCTTTTTTTTTTGTCTCTGATTAATTCGCTGAGTAAACCACCTGACGAGACCTTGGTGGTCGAAACCGCAGTAGTATTCAGTCAGAGTTTTATCCTTTTAATATATATATATATATATATATATATATATATATATATATATATATATATATCTGCGTGTGTGTATAATATATAAGAATATATAAGCAACAACGCACAATTCCAATACCAGTATTGTCTCTTCGGTACTGATAGAAATTTGTTATATTTGATAGTGGTATGATACTGATATTTCAGTATCAGTATTTGTCCCTAATAGAAAACTATAACCAGGAACTGAATGTAGAACAGCCCCCGTAGTTGTGGAAGGCAAAGCAAATTTAAATACCAGCCATCTGGAAAATCGCGGAATGTTGCCATGGGCATGTTCTTCTTTTGACCTGTAGATTCTCTCTAGAATATAGGGCAATATTTTAACGCTTATAGGCAGGTTGCTAAAAAAAGCTAAAGAGGCAAGACAAGGAAAAAAATAAATCCATACTTTTGCGAAAGCTAATTCAACGGACTCGTCTAGAGTTTGAACATATCAGGCCTTTGCTAATTTTTGCATCGATAACCAGCAGACTATGCGAAAAACGCTGGTAAGGCGAACAGAAATTTTGAAATCATGTGTGTAGGGGAGAGAGGACAATCCATTCTTGATGAAAAGGAGTTGAAGAATAAGGTCATACAAAATATAGCCGATTGCATTCTTTGAATATAGTCCTGGGCATGAGGATAAATTGCATCCAGTAAGAAGGCCTGATTGAAGGTTTTGAGGAGCATGGAACCACCTCTTAGTAGATATTGTTCCCAGATCAAGCTGACCCGAGGTGGTAGTACCAGTTAAGGTTTTATCTATTGGAAAATGTGAACTCCCAATAAAAAGCAAAACACTATGAAAATAGTAAAAATACGAGGAATATATTTTTATATAAAAAATTACCAACAATACCTATTTATAGTAAAATTACCAACAATACATATTCATAGTAACTTACCAACAATACTTTCTTATTGTAAATTATCAACAATATCTATTTATAGAAGAATTACCAACAATAACTATTTATAATAGAATTATCAAGAATAACGACTTATAACATTACAAACAATACCAATTTATAATAAAATTACCAACAATAACTATTTATGGCAAAATTACTAACAGTACACATTTAAAGTATATCTTTAGTTCAAGCTATACAGTTAAGTTTAAAATATTTAGATTTTGGCATTAAATAAGCCATAGAGGTTGATAAGGCCCTAAACAAAATCAAGCGAAAAATTATTTGAAAATATTATCTAAACTTTGTCTTAGCACTGCTTTCTCTACAAGAGTTCAAGTAATTCCTTACATAATTGCTCCTCATGTAATGAAATAAGAAAGCAGCGATAAGTTCTATATATTTCTATGCATATTTGTTCAAACTCTTTTAGTTGTTACAGGCATGACGCTTCGAATAATGTACTAAGTGATTTTCTTCAAATGCCGCCCATATTTATTAATATTCGGGCAATTTTGAAGAGAACATTTTATTCAATCTAAGACACTTGAGCAGATATATTATTCTTGCGTTTTCTACTGAAAAATAATCTGGTTACTTAATGCCTGTTGCTCACTAATGCAATATTCAATTCAACGCACACATCAGATGGATCCAAATATGTTAGATCATACAGGGTGTAATGAGTAACTTGTCACCAAATTATATTTTAAATTTTGCGCATGCGTGTCTTTTGTCTTTAATTTTGTCGAATGTAGAGTATAGCAGGGTCAGTTAGGCAACGTCTGTGAAGAAAAAGTGTACCATGACGCAATTCACTCCGCCAGAAATTTGGAAACGGTATGCGACATATTGTATTCCCAGTCATTCGCACCGGAGGCTCGCATACGAACAATTCAGTGTTCGGGTGACAATTTAAGTGCAGAGGATACCAACACCAAAAGAGGGACCGAGAGTAATGAAACCAAATATCCAGTCAACAACATGGTGTTTGGCCTGATCATTAGGGATGGTGACGTTATACCTTTACTCATCTTCCCACAGGGCTTTAGACTCAACACAGTGGCCTATATCAAGTGACTTGAAAAGGTAGTGCTGCCATGAGTCAAGAAGGTGGCTGCTGGAAGCTCTTATGTCTGGAAACAGAATTCTGCAACATGTCATCCAAGCAAGAAAACCCAGTCTGTAGCAATTTCTGCGACCACATCACCCCTTATATTTAGCCACCTAACTCACCAGACTGCAATCCCCTTGATTATTATGTTTGGAGTGCAGTTGAATGAGAGACCAACAAAACGCCTTGTAATACCAAAGATGAACTGAAAGTAAGTATGATGGCAGCTTTCACCAACTTAAACAAGGAGACCGTCCAGACTATATGCAGGAGATTCCGAAGTGGTTGAAGCCAATGGCGATTTTGTTGGATGAAATTGCTCTTAAGTATTTTAAGATATTTTTGTGTGATTTGGGTAAGTATATCTGTTAAAAGGAGGATGTCAGTGTTATTTTCATTTTTGCGTAATGTATACGACAATTTATCCATCGCACCCTGTACAAGCAAAGTAATTCAAAATCATGACGTAATGGAAGAGTTAAGACGTCATATATGAACGATATGTACATTTAATTTGGAAGTGTAGGCGTGATTTGCGTATGAATGTATTTCAAAATTTCCAAAATAACAGGTCTATATTACATGTTAACAAATTCCACGTTCTATTTTCTGAAACGCGAAAAGATAAAGCAATTATGCTTCCATAAAGAAGAATTTTATTCTTTCACTGAATAAAAATTAATGTCCTCTTTTGAACCTTCAAATCAATCATTTTCTATCCTCGGATGCTTAAGACAGACTTAAAAGAAAATAGATAAAAGTAAATCAGATGTTAGCAACACGAGAAATGCTTCACAGTGGGAGGCGAATGTTATATCATGTAAAGCATATTTTCGATTATTAGCATTTTAAGCACAGGGACATAGAGAAATGTAGATAACACATTCAAAAACGTATTCAAAAAAATATATAAGGATTTCGGTGAAAAGATCGATTCTATTTTCAAGAGATATACATAAACGCAATAGGTATAGATATAAGCCATTTAATTATTTACTTACATATATACATATACATATATATGTATACACATACACGTACACACACATATATATATATATATATATATATATATATATATATATATATATATATATCGTCTACAGACAGACTGTTTCCCTGTTTCACAGCTCATCAGTGTAGTAGACATCCAATTTCTTCAACCTGGGATTGAAACCCAACTGACTCGGCAACAGTCAGATATATATATATATATATATATATATATATATATATATATAGAGAGAGAGAGAGAGAGAGAGATAGATAGATGATATAGATAGATAGATAGATGATATAGATAGATAGAGAGAGAGAGAGAGAGTTTCGCCTCAACACACAAGCCCTTCCCCGATAAAGGTTAATATCTAGATATATCTAGATTTAGGGAAGTAATTTGTGTCAAATCTATCTATCTATCTATCTATCTATCTATCTATACAACAAGGGATGTCAGTTTAATTTTTTATTGTATTTTTCCAGTTTCCGGATAAGGTTTTTAATGTTGAAGGGAAAACGTCTTACCTCCCAGAACAAAAAGCGCTCGTACATAGTTTGTGTGTAAAATACCTGACGATCCAAAAGCTATCATTAAAAAAAAAAAATAAGAAAAAAAAAAAAAACTCTTTCTCCAAGCTTAGAGATTTTGCTGGACGAGGGGAGAACGCCGACAACACACTGACGACTCGAGTGGCTGTTCTTTGTGTGTGAAGTTTCGCGTTATTTTCACCGATTGTGATTTGTAAATTAAACTACAAGAAGAACGAGTTCTTTGCCTGAAGAACCTTTATTACTCAGGGTTAACACATACTAATGATTTTTGTCAGTCACTCGAATATAAACTACAACTATTTCGTCATAATGTTGTAGGGGAAATGCGATATGAAAGTCATCCCTGAGTTTGATGGTTCAGCCTCCAGACTGTCCGTGGTCTAATAGGTCGAAAACGCGAAAGATGTTCGGTGTAAAGCATCTTGAACTTAAGGTTGTTGGGTGAAACATTTACTGTCTACTAGCAGCTGCTAGAAGAGGAAAGAGCGGATATTAATCGAATTAAATGTGCATTGTATACGGCTTTTACGATGGATGGGTTTGTGACGTATAAGCAATTCAACGAGCGACGGCTTCGTCGTGGAGAATCTGTCGACGTATACTTGGGAAAACAAGCGGTATTATCCGGCGGAATGAGTGGCCGCGGACTGGCATGTGCGTCCGTAAGGAGATTGCCAGAGCATGTAAAGCGGCTTCTTCCCACTTCGACCTGGATGGATGCGCTAGCGATTGACCAGCTGTTGGCTCGAGCGCAGGCAATTATGAAGCGACCGATACCGGATGGGACAAAGAAGCTTCCGACTTGGTGTTCACGCGATACCATAACATGTAGTTGCAACGATGCTAATCATTTTGCAAAGGAATGCGTGGGACAACACGTCAAAAGGCGGAAACCCCGAATACGCAGCTACAGGTCCGACGAGTTAGGCCATATCTCTCGATATTGTCCTGGAAACGAACGAGGGGAAGAGACTTCGACGCCATTCTGCTCCCCGACCGCCATTTTAATAAGTCGCAAACTACAATTAATGTAGGCATCAATGGGATCAAGGGTATACCCTTAGTGGACACGGGTTGTTCACGGCCTCTGGATGTGCTCACTTTTTGGCGATGAGACCCTTAAGTGCTGCGTCATTGGATTTGTTCAACCTGGTGTGGACCACATGCGCCCTAGCGATGTTAAGGTCTTCGTTGTAGATGGGCAACTACTGAGGTACGACCTGTTGCTTCGAGTTGACATCATCAAGAGGTTGGGTGGTGTGTGTGTGGCCAGCAGTGGCACTGTGAGTTATTCTCAACTTGCGACGTTTTTGCGCAGCTAGCTCCATTAACGAGCCTGACTTTAATGCTGAATATGACCTGAACAGGAAGATCTGGGTTGTATCCTTGAAGTGGTCTGGTGACAAAATACCACCCATGCTGAAGAAGCAGATACCAGAGTATTCTGCATCAAAACAGTTCAGGAAGGAGTACACTCACGAAAACCTAGATAGATAACGGTTGGCTACGTCCTTATCCTGAAGAGAAGGTCGTACACCACAAGGGTTTAATCCAGCTAATGACAAGCAGAAGTTCTGCCTCGTTATTGATTATCGGAACTCAATGACTATCTGCATACACAGCTAATGTTTACAAGTAGAAATTGAGGGAATGGTCATTAGGAAAGGTCTGATGTCCCTGTGTTGGATCTGCGCAGGGCCTATCTGCAAATTCATGTGGACATATATTTGAGGCCCTTTGAAGCAGTACACATCAAAGGGCAAAGATATTGCCGTAGCCGTTTAGGCTCAATGTGGCACTATTGTTCATGCTATCAATCGTCAACGCCGTGGTTGCACAAGACAAAACCCTCCAAGTGTACAACCTCGTACATCGATGACATATTCATCAATGAGTGTGTTGGCCCTGTAAGAGCACAACTGTAACGATTTGGACTCTAGCAGTAAGAACCAGGAACGACTAGATGATAGCACCCGTGTGCTGGGGTTTGTATGACTGGAATGAGCAGGGTAAACTGCTAGTAGTGTCCAAATCGTTCCATGTACGCTCTTACACAAGCCACAGGGCAGAAATATACAGGAGATGTGAAAGTAAGCTCCTACCGATGTAGGATAATGTACTCAACCGTCGGAGGATCTTTAACTTGTGTGGGAAAATAACCGGACGACTGTCAGTGTGCGGTTGGCTGTGCGTCGCTAGCGCATTTCTCAAACGATGAACAAACACTATAACGTCTGGCTGCGATGATAAAACACGGAACCTGTTCTTGGTTCGACTGCTGATGGACATCACCCTCAGAATAGCGCAAAATGATCCAGCGCATGGATATTGGTACGTGAATAGACACGCAAGGTTGACGCAATCTCTTTGGCTACCGGTGTCGTTGTATAAACGGGGAATCTTTGGTTAACTGCGCCCGGTACACGAAAATGGCACATTAACATAGCGGATCTCGACGCGATGTTAAGAGGTGCCAACCTGGCGTTGCAGCAGAAGGCGACAGTGGTTCACCTCAAGACAGGCTCAGCATGTGTACATCATGTGCTTCTAAAACGCTGTCTGAAAAAAATGAGAGTGCTCTCAAAGGCGGCGTCTGAAACGTTAATAAGACGTCGGCTCGACACACTCAGGGAACTGACTGTGGAATATGGGCTAACAATCGACGTAGGACTACTTAGATCTCACGATAATCAAGCCGATTAACTCACCATGGTACCTCAACGATCGCTAGATGCATTTCGTAAAGAAACGGAACCGGTGTGCACTACGTCCGTAGAACAGCTGGAATCCCCTCGTATACAAACCATCCATCAACGAAGTGGGCATTTTGGCGTAAGGCGCACGTTATATATTGTAAAACAGGTCAGCCCTAGAGTTTTTAAAGCATCATTTAGAGCGGTGGTCAGTGAGTGCGACACGTGCTAGTCCATAGACCCGTGACAATTGGTGCCGGGTGTGAATGGATATAACCCATTATGGAGGCCGGCAGTATCTGAACCTGATAGACTGTGGTCCTAGTAGATTTTCCATTTGGCGGCCAATTTTCCATTTGGCGTCACGACTCTGCCAGCTACTCATTGACAATGGTGTGGCGTTCTGTGGAGAGATGTTCATGAGGTTCGCAGACGAGTGGGGCCTACGACTGAGATTCCAGTGTGCCTGTGTGTGCCGTCAGGGAATACTATTATAGAGAGAAACCACGTACCATCAAAGCGAATTTGCCCACTAGAACGCAATCTTTCGTAATGGAAGCGCGTTGAATTGGTAAAACGTGACGCCAAAAGTTGATACAACAGCCATGAAAGCACCAGCTAACTCTATATACAAATATCAGACCCGGGCGTTGATATGGCATCACCACTTGAACATATAGATCCAGAAATCTACAGAATAAGAGATGCAGTCTGAATAAAGGCCTCGCATGGTTGATGCACGATGCAAATTAAAAAACAAAAACAAAACAGAGTAATACCATGCCAAAACAATTTTTGTCTTCTCACGGATCTCTTTCCTCAGATGAGGACAGTAGTGATATCTCACGGATCTATTTCCTCAGATGAGGACAGTAGTGATATCTCACGGATCTATTTCCTCAGATAAAGACACTAGTGATATGTCACGGATCTATTTCCTCAGATAAAGACAGTAGTGATATCTCTCGGATCTATTTCCTCAGATGAGAACAGTAGTGATATCTCACGGATCTATTTCCTCAGATAAAGACAGCAGTGATATCTCATGGACCTATTTCCTCAGATGAAGACACTAGTGATATCTCACGGATCTATTTCCTCAGATGTGAACAGTAGTGATATCTCACTGATCTATTTCCTCAGATGAGAACAGTAGTGATATCTCACGGATCTATATCCTCGGATAAAGACAGTAGTGATATCTCACGGATCTATTTCCACAGATGAGGACAGTACTGATATCTCACTGATCTATTTCCTCAGATAAAGACAGTAGTGATATCTCACGGATCTATTTCCTCAGATAAAGACAGTAATGATATCTCACGGATCTATTTCCTCAGATAAAGACAGTAGTGATATCTCTCGGATCTATTTCCTCAGATGAGAACAGTAGTGATATCTCACGGATCTATTTCCTCAGATAAAGACAGCAGTGATATCTCATGGACCTATTTCCTCAGATAAAGACAGCAGTGATATCTCACGGATCTATTTCCTCAGATGAGGACAGTAGTGATATCTCACGGATCTATTTCCTCAGATGAGGACAGTAGTGATATCTCACGGATCTATTTCCTCAGATAAAGACACTAGTGATATGTCACGGATCTATTTCCTCAGATAAAGACAGTAGTGATATCTCTGGGATCTATTTCCTCAGATGAGAACAGTAGTGATATGTCACGGATCTATTTCCTCAGATAAAGACAGCAGTGATATCTCACGGATCTATTTCCTCAGATGAGGACAGTAGTGATATCTCACGGATCTATTTCCTCAGATAAAGACAGCAGTGATATCTCACGGATCTATTTCCTCAGATAAAGACAGTAGTGGTATCTCATGGATCTATTTCCTCAGATGAGGACAGCAGTGATATCTCACAGATCTATTTCCTCAGATAAAGACAGTAGTGATATTTATGGATCTATTTCCTCAGATGAAGACAGTAGTGATATCTCACGGATCTCTTTCCTCATATGAGGACTGTAGTGATATATTATGGATCAATTTCCTCAGATGAGGACAGTAGTGATGTGTCTATGAGGGCGATTCAGATACGCTGCTGTATTTCATATCAGAACTTGATGATTCACCTGGAGAACCGGAAGAAATAGAGTCGGACGACGATGATGTTGCTGAGAACGAGAGAGAAACTGTGAACGCAAATGAAGAGGACGAGGAACTCCATCGAACTTTATGAA